TTTATCAATTGGATTGTGTATAGCCGCGTGTAAACCCTGTGACAACGAGGGTGCTTCGTGAGAGGAAGAACCATGATGAGAGTGAGAACCACCCTGATGACTTCCATCGGCACCACCGCTCTCATTCTCGCCAATTTCAAAGCCAACGACACCGTCCAGTGATTCATCGGTACTACAGAAACTGTCACCGGAATTGGCTGGATAACCATCTAGAAAAAAAAAAGAAAAAAAAAATATATATATATATATATGTATTTATGTATTATATGTAAATAAAAATATCGAATAAATTTATTTTTATGAGAAGTCATATGAAAAAAAAAAAAAAAAAAAAAAAGAAAATAAAAAAGAATTAATCCAATGAAAAATACTCACCGTCCGGTGAAAAGGGGTGATTCGGGTTAAGTGGTTGTGTGGCCGATGGAAAGTTTGAAGATTCACCATCACGCATATTTATGGCGTTCAAGTAATGACCTATTAACGATGAAATAAAATGTTTCATGTTAATTCTTAATTGTGCCTATATAAAGATATATATATATATGACATTCAATGGATCAACTTTGAGCACAATTATAAGCGTACTTTTTGAGCATTGTATGAATCATACATCTTTTTTGTTTTTCTTTTTTTTTTTCTTTTTCTCCTTTTTTTTTCTTTTTTTTTTTTCGTTTTCCTCACAACGACCGAATTGGAAAAATCCCACTTTCAAAACTATTGATTATTATTTCTTCCAAAGCCTCGGAGAATATATAGTATCTTTTTCAAGTTAATATTTTGCATTTCGTACGAACAACGTAATGCTCAAAGTATCTGGGATTGTATCGAGCAACTCAATAACTGCACAATTTATTGTAATTATTTTAAGATGTGCACAATTACGTTTAAATATTATGCATTAAATACATTTTATAATATAAGATTTGTCTGATATATATAATCCTTGTATAATATGATCCCATGAAACCGTTTGTATGAAATCGTTTGCATATCGTGTTCGTTGAAAAAAAAAAAAAAGAGAAAAGAAGAAAAAGAAAGAAAATTTTTTCATGATCAAATTCGTATAGAAATTTTTTCTTCTTTTTTTTTTTTTTTTTTTACATACAAATCGTTCACACGAAATTTTCGTATTAAAATTTGTTCCCGTAAAATCTTCCTACGAAATATTCACATAAAGTCTATGGTATAAAATCATTCTATTAAGAAACGTTCATATAAAAAAAAAAAAAAAAAAAAAAAAAAAAAGAATCTTCGTATGAAACGTTCATATAAAATCATTGTGTAAAAGTTTTATATAGAGAAAAAGAAAAGAAAAGAAAAGAAAAAAGGGAAAAAAAACAAAAAAGAGAGAGAGAGAGAGAGAGAGAGAGAGAAAAAGAAAACGTTGTGTTATAAAATTATTTTATGATAAAATTTTCATGGGAAAAATCTTTTTACGATATAAATATCTACGGGGTATGAAAAAAAAATGTGTAATTCAAATCAACGATTAACTTACTGTGATCGCTGTGAGGACTTTCCGTTCTTCTTTCTTCCTTAGGCTCTTTGTCTGATCCAGGTTCTGTTTTCGCTTTCCTCTGAAGCTTCTTCATTTTCGCCCTTTGATTTTGAAACCATACTTGAACAACGCGAACGCTGAGACCCGTGTCCTTTGCCAAGGCCTCTCTAACCTTCCTGCAAGGCTTTGGCGAAACTTCAAAGGACGCTTTGAATTGTCGCCTTTGAGCCGACGTGAGAATAGTCCGTGGCCGTTTAGGTCCTCTTCGACCATCACGTGGTCGATTTTCATCCAATAAATCGTCATCTGAACGATAATATTAAATCATTGATCGATGATCTACGATATATTAACGAAATGACACGATTAAATTTCGTCGATAATAATAATAATACGAATGAAACACGGATTTATTTATTTATTTATTTTTTTTCTTTTTTTTCTTTTTAAAGAAGAAACAAACTCTAATGAATATCTTTTTGTTTTTTTTTTTTCTTTTTTTTTTTTTTTTACATAAACATAAAGATTCGTTCGATATGACCATAATCAAAACTTCGAAATAATGTCGATATAAAATTTGTCATAATTCATAGAAATTTATCATTGATCGATCATCTAAATACATTATATCAATGAAACTACAAACTTGCAATTCTTTTTTTTTCTTTTTTTTTTTTTTTTTTTAGAAAAAAAAAACAAACTCTATGAATATTAAAAAACCTCATTTTGAATCATTTCTATCTGAAACCTTGCTATTAATTCGATATCGCTTAAGACTAAACTTAGAAAATATTTAGATCTGTAAAGAATGAAATTACGAGATACGAATTAATTTCGCTTAAATTAAATAAATCATTTTGATCTAACACTTACGATTGATCTATTACAAAACACAAGGAAAATCAAAGGTCCTATTCTTTTTTGATTTCGTCTAAATTTCAAAAACTCGCTGGACGAACGAAATACTCCGGTATATATATTTTATTTCTTCAAAATAAAAATAAAAAAAAAAAAAAGAAAAAAAGAAAAGAAAAAGGAAAAAGAAAAAGGAAAAAGAAGAAGAAAAGACAGACAGGCAGACAGACAGACAGACAGACAGACAGAGTGAGAAAGAGAGAAAGAGAAAGAAAGAGAGAGAAAAAAATAAAATGAAGGGAAAAAAAAGGTGATTCGTCCGTCGGACGAGTATTGATCTGTGAGTTCAAAGGCGCCACCTCTCGATGAGGGAATAAACGTTGATACCGTTTCCAGCTGAGAGAGAGAGAGAGAGAAAGAGAGAGGGAGGGAGAGGGAGGCAGAGAGAAAGAGGGAGAAAGAGAGAGGGAAGAAATGTCTTTGGAAACTTGGTGAAACTTGGAGGAAGTCAGGACTGTTGCTCTTAGCTTTAGAAATTCTGGATGTAGCGATTGTCGTGTACTTCAAATGAGAAAGAAGAAGAGAAATAGGAGGTGAAGATGGAGGTGGAGGTAGAGAAGAGGAAAGAGGAGAAAGAGGAGGGGAGTAATAGGGAAGAGGGAATGAGTAGAGCGAGGGAGAAGGGAAGGGTCGTTACTTTGAGTAGTACGATTACCGTGATCTTACGAAAGGCTTCTTCTACTTTTCTTTTTTTTCTTCTTCTTCTTTTTCTTCTTTTTCTTCTTCTTACAACGTGGTTACTACTTTCACGTGAGAACACACTCAAATGATACGTTATTATGAGCTCGTGAAAGATATCACGTTTCGATATAGAAAGTAGATAGTAATGTTTCTCTTGGTCTGACATAATACCGACACCATCCACTTATACTCTCTCTCTATCTTACGAAACACAAATTCAGTGGATGAGGATCTATTTTGGTCGGGCAATGAACGTACGACATCCTAGTGTTCATATTTAGTTCTTATTTAGGAAGAAAAAAAAAAAAAAAAAAAAAGAAAAAAAAAGAAGAAAAGAAAGAAAAGAAAAAGAACTCAATAAATTTTTCATAACTGATCTGTCATATTTATATAAAGGGTGTCTCGTATTAATACGATCGAATTTCATCGATAATGTTCTTTGTTATAATAGAAATAAGAAAGAATGAAAAAGAAAATTTTATTATAAATATAAATATATATATATATATATATATATATATATATATATTATGTTAATTATATTATCGTGAATTTTATTATTAACTTGGAATACAAAAGATTTATTTATATATTTTAAAATGTCCTTATACCGTTTCTAATGAAAATCTTGACAGTATATTAAAGATTTCAAGTAGATCGAATTTATGATAACTACGAAATATCATGTTTGTTATTACTTTAAAAAAATTTTAAAATGTTATTTCAATTAATCCTTAAAAATCGTACGTTTTATTATTACGTGGCGATGTATCGACAACGAACACATTATATTTCTCATGGATTTCGTATTTTCTTTTTTTTTTTACAAATCTTTTCTTCTTTTTTCTTTTTTTTTTTTTTTGTTTATTTATTTATAAAATACCTACGACAATTTATGTTAGTATAACATTTCCTTTTTGTTATTTTTTTCATTCGTATTTCTAATCATTCAGAACATATGATGAATTCATGGTGATCGTTTAAACCTAGGACACCCTATGTATATATGTACACGTACACGTATGTATATATATATATATAGATATATATATATATGTATGTGTGTGTATATATATATATATTTGATATTCGATGTGTTTACGGTATTACTATTCTCTCTGTGTTTGTTAATTTATTTCGTAATCATCGTCTTCTAATTACGCTTGTTTAATTTGTAATTACCTTGGAAAGAGACAGCCTTGTTTCGAAATTCTTGAAGGTTTTTACTTTGGATGTCTTTAGATTGTAGTACAACAACCTGCGAACAATGCAACAAGGTATGTACTATACAATACGTTTGCATATGGCGCTGGCTTAATACAAAACGTGATTGATTTTATTTCTTTTCTTTCTTTTTTTTTTTTCTTTTTGGTTTATTTATTTATTTACTTAATTATTTATTTGTCTTAATATTTTTTCACATCGTCAATTAATTTCTAAAGTCTTTGATAAATATTAATTAAAATTCGTGAAGCGCCTTTGTCAATTAAAGGATAATTGATCCTTCGCGATCGACGATAGATAGATCATCATTGATTCGATAGGATATTACGAGAAGATGATAACGAGATTATGATACGTTAATAAATATTATCGAAAATGACAGATCCAAGATCGTTATATCCAAGGTAATTACAATTTTAATATATCCGCTTTATTTTTATTTTCTTCTTCTTTTTCTTTTTTTTTTTTTCTTTTTTTTCTGTTCTTTTCTATCTTTTTTTTTTTTTTTCTTTTTTTCGAGATTGAATCTCGAAAAGAATTGAAGAGAATTGAAGCCTCGAATTTGTCTGATTGTCGTGAACCGTGATATAACACACCTACCTTCTTCTACGAATAATACCTATATACATATATATATATATATATATATATATATATATATATATATATATATATAGATTTGATCAATCTCACGTGTTCCATACGTAAGAGAGAAACATTCACGAGAAATAATCCATTAAGGATAGATCCAAATAGAGGTAACCTAAATCGTGATATTATACGGGACAATTTATATGGGGTACAATTTTAAGACGTAAAACGTTATATAATGATCTTCGAAGAAGTATAATCGCGTGAATCTTCTTCGTTGATTAATAATATGCCGATGATATGATCTGATGTAGTGTACTTTGTTCTGATATTGTGTAGTGGTAAAGAGGAAGTGATGTAGGAAGGGAGGAATGGGGAGGGTGATAGTGAACATAGAAAAAAAAAAAAAAAAAGAAGAAGAAAAAAAAAAGAAAAAAGAGTTAGAGAACATTAAGGAAAAATTAAGTTGAATAGAATTTAAAGAGATCGATATTCGTATTTATTCGTTTGTTTTGACTAACCTTGTGGACTTTTCATGTAAAGCTCGTGTTCCAAGTCCTGAATGCAGATCGGTTGTCCCTGACGCAAAATATAATGAGCGCCTCTTTGTAACGGTTGGCCGCACATGCAGCAGGCAAAACATTCCATGTGGAAGATCAAGCCGGCAACTCTCATGACCATCTCGCTGCAGCTGATCCTCTCCATGCATCGGGCGCACTTAACGCTAAAGATCCTCTCGTAATCGGATCGACAGTAAAACTTGAGGTCACGTATGAAACAGGATTGCGACAACGGTGCGGCACATGCCGCACAGGAGAGGCACTCCTCGTGATAGTTTCTTTCCATTACTCTCATCACGTACTTATCCGTGATCGTACGCCCGCATCCAGCACAGATCGTTTCCAGTAGCCCGGATTCCGTTTTGACGGAAACCGAAGATTCTGTAAAATCGTTATAGAGACTTGAATCATTGACTTTCACATTTTATTTTATTACAATCATTTACAACGACTAATTGATCATATTTACAAATTTTTATTACTTTTAGAAATAACAATAAGTCCATTTCAAAAGGAAACGTCATAAAGTCCATTCAAAGGGATATTTCTAATTTTTATTTCAAAGAATTTTTCGAACAAAGGTATTAACTTTCTCAGAAAAATATTAGAATTTAAATAGATAAAAGGATCTTTAAAAAGTATCACATCTTGTTCTACACCCCCCCTCCCAATCCCACTCCCACCTTAATTATGATTTATGTCCGATCACTCGAAAATATTTAAAGATTTCAAAATAAAATGAAAAGAAAAAAGAAAAAAGAAAGAAATAAAAGAGAAGTAAAGAAAGAAGAAGGGGAAAAAAAAACACATACACACATACACACACAAAAGAGGAAAGAAAGACATACGACGAGATACGGAGAAACACATTGAGATTTATTCAAACTCTTATCGCCGGATAACGCTGATAAAACGATAACGGGATCGATTCGTTGGGGGATTAGAATTATTTAATGGGAAAAGGATTTAGTCGGTATAGAAATTAAAATAGTTACGTGCATATGTAACGGTGTTTAATAAAACTTTACGATTTGATTGGATACGTTATAATAATAACAACGTCGTTACGATATTCTGAAGGCTCCTTTTGATCGGATCATCCTTTGACGTAAAAAAAGAAAAGAAAAAAAAAAAAAAAAAAAAAGAAAAAAAGAACAAGAAAAATCATTCAATCTTATTAACATTCACGTTCGTTCGATAAATAAATCGAACTTTTACGTTTTAATTGTCGTATCGTTGAATTGACGATTGACGTAAATCAAAACGTCGATTCATTATGTTTTCGTTATTTCTATGGGAATGTATTAAAATAAAATTATCCATTTGACGATGTAGAAAAGAAAAGAAAAGAAACGAAAAAAAGGAAAAGAAAAAAAGAAGACGAAAGAAAACGAACCATATGGACGTGGATGAAATTTGCAATTTGCAGTTCATTCGATTGCAGTATCATCAGTAGGCGTCGGACAGGTCCATCGTCGTTTTCCCATCGCCATTTTCTAATCTAGATATTAGTTCTTTGCCCCCACCCACCCACCTATCCATCCACCACCACTACCATCACCTTCTTTCCTTTTTTTTCCCCCTTTGATCATAGATAAAACTGACCTGCGTTATTGTTGTCCCCCGTTGAACGAAATGGAAGCGATGGTCCGGCAGGTACGGGCTGTCCCGGTTCGGGCTGCCGATTCAATGAACCTGGCACTGGCGTAAAGAATTCCAACATTGTGTCACGAATAGATTTCACCAATCGTCGCACGATCCCGAGAAGAGAACACGCGATCTGGCAACACTTTATTGGTCCCTCGATACGTACGGTGTCGTACATCGCGCGGGAAATCTCAAGAGAGGACACGGAGGACCTCCTCTACGAGAATCGAGTTTCGTAATGAACGAATCCCTTTCAGGATCACCGATATACAAAACGAACACATGTTTTTCATCGAAGATTATCACAAACGAAAGAGATGATAAAAAGTGTCTGTGTGTGTGTGTGTGTCTGCGTGTGTGTAAGAGAGAGAGAGAGAGAAAAAA